CAATCCACAACCAAATCCAAAACCCAAACCCCCATAATGTCACAAAAGAGTTGGATAATGCATGCTCGAGGGGCTAAGGGGTTAAGGGGTTGAGCGCGCAACAGTTGATTGCCATCAGGGAAGATTATGTAAATCGAATTGTCCAGGAAGAATGCGCCATCAAATGGGGCCCACAATTATGGAAGCAATTAAAATGGGGAAAAAATATATGCACATATATGCAAGTGGGGCTCCTGGGCAAAATGCCAAGCCATTATTCATTTTCAAATCATTGCCTCCTAATTGACACAATTCGCATTCGATGCGAATTAAAAATGATGCAATAACATATTTAGTACAAATATTGTTATCGGTTATATCGGTTTAACGGCTTTCCTTTCCACTTTTGATATAGTTTTTTTTAAAGTTCGCATAAAAAGATTGAGTTCAAGTCACCTCAAGGTTTTTTCTGTGATCAATTAATACACCATTTTCCACTCATTTGTACAGACACGAAATATACACTAGAACAAAAGCTTATTATGGACAGGCTTGTAAAGAAATCGATTAAAGCATTTTTAGGAAAGTAAAAAATTCACGTAGATGCCTGTTTATAACATGTGAAACAATTTGTATATATATATATAAAAATCACAACAAAAACTTTAAAAGACTGTTTTTAAGTATAAATAAAAAAAATTGTAATATCGTAAAAACACTATATTTGATCGGGTAAATACAAATTTGTATACAAATGCCAGTGCAATGGCCTTTAAAATTACAAACAAAATTTATAAATATAAAAAAAAGCTTTTTATCCTTTGCTTAAAATTATTTTAATGTTGTTACATATAGCCCTAAGTTATATACAATATTTTGTATTTAATATTTTATAAATATAAGAATTGCAAGGATATTTTTGTTAGAAATCGTTTTGATTGCCATAACTAACGAGGGATTATTTGCCGTGTACCGTTTGTGTGCATTGTCAGCAAGTTCATTTCCGCTGTGGCCACACAAAATGGCGTGCAAAATGCAAAAACAGAGGGCCTGTGCGAAAGAGAGGACGTTAGGTGCTCTCGTTGATGGGCAACATTAACGCACGCGATGTGGTGGTTCCATGGGATCTGTGGGTCTGTGGGATCTGCGGCATTGTCAGCATTCTGGGACTTTGGACAGCGACAATTGCATGTGTAATTTGTGTTTAGTGGGCTGGAAATAAAAGTACCATACCCGCCCCCAGTTAAGTGGGCCGAACAATGAATTTCAGGTGCAACTCCGGAGCTGAAATGTTGGGCTATTCGCACAATAAAGCAGACAATACGGATCGCCTCCGGATTTTTGCCACTGAAAGCATGCATACGTTTTAAATGTTCAAGTTTGGTTTGGATAAAGTTCTTGCACTCTAGAGGTTTAATATCGTTTTATAAGTATTTAAAAACATCATAGCCTAAAGCCTAAGTCACATATTCAGGCTAAATTTTATGTAATTTTACGTAGAACCCTATTATTCCAAAATTTGTATATTTGAATCCTCAAAAATTTTAATTTTTCTATATTCAACCAAAACCGCTAAAAAGATTTTAAAACCTCTTTAAAAATATTTTTCACAGCATATTTAAAGACTCCTTCCTATTTAAAGTGGATTAAACATTTTTTTTTAAATAAAATAAATTTTTTTATTCATTTACATTTATAATTATAAAAAAAAACCAATTATATTGGTAATATCGTTTCGTAATAATTTTCTTTTAAACAATGTCTTGACATGGTTACATTTATAAATACATAAAAAAAAAAAAAATTAAAAAAACCATTAATATTGTTAATGTCATTTAGAAGTAATGTTCGTGTTTTTATGAACAACCATTTCTAGGCTGAGGTTTCTGGGGTTTCTTAGTGGTTGCACATGGCTTTGGTTGGGGTTTCTTAGTGGTTTCACAGGGTTTTGGTTGGGGTTTCTTAGTTGTTGCACAAGGCTTTTGATTCGGTTGGGGTTTGCATTGGGATGGTGGGTTGCAGCCACACTTGGATCCTCCACCACAACCACAGTCAGAGTTAGATCCCGATCCGCAACCCGGGTGAGGATTATTTACCTTGTTGGTGGTAGCGCAACCCGGGTGAGGATTATTTACCTTGTTGGTGGTAGCGCATGGTGGTGAACGTTTGGTAGTTTTTTCGCAAGGTATTGATCGCTTGGTGGTTTTTCCACATTTGGTGGTTCGTTTGGTTGTTCGTTCGGTCGTTCGTTTGGTGGTTTGTTTGGTGGTTCGTTTGGTTGTGTGTTTGGTGGTTTGTTTGGTGGTTCGTTTGGTTGTGTGTTTGGTGGTTTGTTTGGTGGTTTGTTTGGTAGTTTGTTTGGTGGTTTGTTTGGTGGTTTGTTTGGTGGTTGCCTGAGTGGAAGGCCGCAAAGTGGAGCAGGTGGGTTCACAGGGCACGGTTGGTTTTGCTGTGCTTGGTGAAGTGGTGGGTGCGGTGGTGGGTGCAGTGGTTGGTGTATCGGAGGAAGGTCGCCAGGTGCTGCAGGTTGGCTCGCAGGGAACTGTGGGTCTTTGGGTAGGTGGTGTGCTGCAAGTAGTTGTCGGTGTTGTTGAGCAAGGTGGTGTTCTTGTACATGGTGGTCGTATTGTTGTTGTACAAGGTTGTGGTGTTGGTGTGCACGGTGGTTGTGTTGTTGTACAAGGTGGTGTTGTAGTTGTACAAGGTGACTGTGTTGTTGTACAGGGCGGTGTTGTTGTAGTACAAGGTGGTGTTGTTGTAGTACAAGGTGGTGTTGTGGTTGTACACGGTGCTGGTGTTGTTGTACACGGTGGTTGTGTTGTTGTACAGGGCGATGTTGTTGTAGTACAAGGTGGTGTTGTTGTTGTACACGGTGGTGTTGTTGTTGTACACGGTGGTAGTGTTGTAGTACAAGGTGATGTTGTTGTTGTACACTGTGGTGGTGTTGTTGTACACGGTGGTTGTGATGTTGTACACGGCGGTGTTGTTGTAGTACAAGGTGGTGTTGTTGTTGTACACGGTGGTGGTGTTGTTGTACAAGGTGGTGTTGTTGTTGTACACGGCGGTGTTGTTGTAGTACAAGGTTGTGTTGTTGTTGTACACGGTGGTGGTGTTGTTGTACAGGGCGGTGTTGTTGTGGTACAAAGTGATGTTGTTGTTGTACACGGTGGTGGTGTTGTCGTGCAAGGTGTTGTTGTTGTACAAGGTGGTCGTGTTGTTGTACAGGGTGGTGTTGTTGTTGTACAAGGTGGGGTTGTTGTTGTACAGGGTTCTGGCGTTGTTGTACAAGGTTCTGGTGTTGTTGTACAAGGTTCTGGTGTTGTTGTACAAGGTTCCGGTGTTGTTGTACAAGGTTCTGGTGTTGTTGTACAAGGTTCTGGTGTTGTTGTACAAGGTTCCGGTCTTGTTGTACAAGGTTCAGGTGTTGTTGTACAAGGTTCTGGTGTTGATGTACAAGGTGGTGACGTAGTGCAAGGTGGTTGTGTTGTTGTACAAGGCTCCGGTGTTGTTGTACAAGGTTCAGGTGTTGTTGTACAAGGTGGTGGAGTTGTGCAAGGTGGTTGAGTTGTTGTACAAGGTTCCGGTGTTGTTGTACAAGGTGGCTCTGTGCTGCAAGTAGGTGGTTCAGGGCTACATGTGGTGGGTTCGGTGCAAGTGCATGTTGGTGGTTCAGTCTGAGGCGGCAAAGTACTGCAAGTGGGTTCACAGGAATCCGTAGAGGTGGGTACGGTCGCAGTGGTTGCCCTAGTGGTGGTCTTCTTGGTGGTGGTAGTCTTAACGGTGGTTGACCGAGTGGTTGGGCTTGCCGCGGAAAACCCAACCAGTACCACCAGTATACCAATCAGCACGGGAAGGTGCATCTTCATTGCTGCATTCACCACTGAGAAGCGCTTCTTATATACCACTGCAATCCGCCCTTGACCCACCATTTAACAGCTTTTATGTGCACTCAAAAAAATATGTTAACAGAATCGGAAGTTTAACAAGCAAAATGTTTGCTGGCCCAATAAAATATTCACAAGTTAAGTTGTAAAAGTAAACCTTTTTCCCGATAATAAGGAATATTAATGATAAAAGTTAGCTTCCCATAAAAACCCTTTGATTTTAGTTGCACAGAAATATTAATAATGAAATATATTTCATTATATTCTTATTTTCAGTGTCGAAAAATAATCAATTTTTTTAAATTTTTTTTATTTCCAAAGTGTAGAATGAGCAGGTCTTCCACAAATATTTGCAGGACAGAAAGGTCTGTTTTCCATTTTTGGACCAAGCGTTTAACTTAATCCAACTTAATATTAACACCAACTTGAGTTTACTTAACCGCAGCTGTTCGAGTCTTCCACGTTTTAATTACCATATTGATCATGGTTTTGTTTAGTTTATGTTGTCTACATCAAGTTGTGGAAAAATTTCGCGTGCTGGTTGTGTGTGCAAATCAAATGGTGTTTCTGATATTGTTTTTAAATTTGGGATATCATTTTTTTTGTACTCATACTTGGTATACCCTTTTCAAAAACATTTTTTTTTAATATTAACTACGACGAGTTATAATTGAATAGCTATAAAAGCGATTTCCACTTTATTTTCTGTTTGATCATGATGTAAAATTCTCATAAAACTAATCCAATTCTAAATTTTTTACTAAATACAAAGAAAAAAAAAACGAAAACTTTATTTTCTGTTTGCTTTTGTGTGACTTTGAATTCATTTTGTTGAAAGGCAGATTGAGCTTAACACATAATTATTATTTAATATGTTACTCTTGAAGATCGTATTTGAAGAAATACCGTGCCGATTATAAATCTTGGTGGGTTGAGATTATTTTCTTTACCGTGCTGGCGAATTTATTTAATATTTCTCTTTCCAAATACCGTCATCGCCGGGTACCAATTATCTACTCTATTGTTATTCAACGTTTTTGTTTCGACAGATTTCATTTGCGACTCTACTTTAACCTTCACTTGGGTAAATAAAACGGTGCCTGGTGTTTTGACTATAAATTGCGACGAGACCTTAGGTGGTCCGTTAAAGTTAGACAGAAGATATTGCCGAAATGAAGTTGACAAAGCTAATGCTGACTTTCCTTTGCCTAGGGCTTTTCGTTGCCCTGGTGGTGGGTGTCGATACGGATACGGATGACGATACGGACTTGAATACGGCAGCCGATTCCGATGAGGAGACTTCTACCACGACCGCGGCCAGTGCCTCGGATAGTTCCAGCGCATCAGATGATAATTCCGAGAGTGATTTGGGTGCGGATGACGGCTTAGGCACGGATGACTACGATTCTGATAGTGATGCCGCTCCACCAGTGGTACAAAAGAAGAAGGCCAATAATAACAAAAAGAAGGCCAATAACAACAAAAAGAAGGCCAATAACAACAAAAAGAAGGCCAACAACAACAAAAAGAAGGCCAGCACCAACAATCGCAGGAAGGCCAATAACAACAACAGGAAAAAGTCCTCCAACAACAACAACAATAGGCGAAGGAACAACAACGCCAGGAGGCGTGGTTAACCCACCAAAAACTGTTAATCAAAAAACTTTCGGACTATATTCATAATAAATACAATTTTTTTTGTTCATGATTTAATAATTGATTGGTGTGCTGGTGTGATTCAACAGCGCACAAAAACATTGCATATTTTTGGGGTGCGGAAAAAATGAAAGGTGGACAAAAATGCAAAGCTCATAGGTAGAAATAAAAAAAACATAATCTGAACGACCTATTCGTGGAGGTGAACATTAAAGATTCGTCTGAATATTTTTCAAATAAATTTTTTTTTTTAATTGTTTTGTATTGAATAAAATTGCGCACTGAAAAGATCCTAAAAACTCTTCTTTAATTTTGAATAACTACAAAATGTTTAACAATGCGAGTTTTCTCTTGCAAAAAAAAGTTGTGCAAATTGTCTATAACACTCAAACAATAGCGCACATTTTATCTTTACTCGCACAAACATTTTGCAACAAAGCAGCGCTTGAAGTCATAGAAAATATGTGTTATACAAGCAAATCGAACTAAACACAAACAGAACCTATCGACAAGCTTCAATTTTAAATCGCAATATATTATGGACACAATGTTGAATATGCTGCAAACTAGGCAACAATGTTTTTTGCCACAATGCATTGACATGCTGCAGCATGAGAGCAAAATCACAACAGGTGTCGATGACTTATCGATACCTGGCTTTCAGGATAGGGCCCGGCTTTTTGAGCCACCCACAATTTGCTCAATTATCCAGGCTATAAGTTATTCAGGCCCAACTGACACAAACACACTTACAATCTCACAGAGAGGGAAAAGTCAACAGCTTTTCTCCGTTGGCCAACTTCCTGCGGTGACTCAAAGTTTCTGTCACTTTAACTTTTCTAATTCGATTAAGTCGACTAACTGCAAATTGATTTCATTGTAAGTCGCTAATTGGCCGCCTTTATTGGCCTAACTTTTCAGTTGGCCGGGTTGCCTTTGGTTTTTAAGTTCGGTTCAGTTTTCATGACGCATGGGTCACGTTGGTCGCTCTCTAATACTTTCATTTACCCACCAGTTGTGCAAACACTGCCAAAATTCGAAATAATTAGACCGGCTTTGTTATCTAAATTTGCCAAATTTATGTTTTGCTGCGGCTTTCGCTCCAATTTGCTTTGTTAACGACCTACTTGAAGGCCAAATGTTTTGTATTCCCCGCTTAAAATGTATATCAATTCGAACCAAACGCGAATTCTTAAGCTTGCAATTGAATTCTTTTAACTAAATTAAATTAAATTATTTACCATAGAAAATTGAATTTCTCATTCAATGCATTCTATATTTATAGTCTTTTAATTTAATATTATATTCAGTTTAATTGAAGTCCTTGTTTTTAGTTGCTGCATAAATAACTTGTTAATCGTTACTGGATGTTTAAACATATCTTTCCCCCAATTTATTATCGGTTGTATTTTATAACTAAATTTTACACAATTTAAAATCAAAACTCACCGAACGTTGGCCAGCGTGTGGCGTCGGTTCTTGAGGTACCGACTATGGTACTTCTGCAGGTCGCCGATGGACCCCTGCTCCGCCTGCATCTTGCTGGTGGGCAGCAGCTGCGAGTTGCTCGGGTGCGAGGAGGCGAGGGCGGAGGCCGACGACGAGGTCAGCCGGTGGTGCGCGGCAACGCTGGCGCTGCTGCTGTTCTGGGTGGTGGTGGCGGTGCCCCCGGTGGTGCTGCTAGAGGCCAAGGTCTCGTTCGAGTTGCTCCCAATGACAGTGGTGGCCGACGAGGAGCCTCCCGCCGATCCGATGGGCGCAAGGACGATGCGCGACCAGCAGGACTTGTGTGGCTTGCGGAACTTTAGTTTGATGCGAGGCGAGGGCGTAGAGGAGGTACCTTTAAAATAAAATATATGTATTATCATAAATGTATAAAGGAAATATTTTATACAAAATACCTAAAATCGATTTTGAATTAAAGCTTTAATTTTTTTTATTTTATCTAGGCACAATGTGCACATGAGATTTCGGCTAAAAAAAAGTTTTAAATTCAAGTATTTCATAATTTTTAAATTTTTTTAAATATGAATTTATTAAATCATTTTTTTTTTTGTATTATTGCAAATATGTTTTTTTGTTGAAATGGAAAATTGGGGAAATTTGTTCATTAGAAGTTTATACCTGCAATGTACTCCTGTGGTTGCTGACTGCCAGTGGGCACTGTGCCCGCCGAGGACGAGGTGGCCGACGAGTGGTGGATGCTCTCACAGCTGCCGCAGTAGCCACTGGCTATGGTGATCGGCGGAGGCTGCTGCTGCTGCTGGTCCTTCAATGAAGACTGATGCTTAAAGTTGGCCTGCTCGGACTCCTCCTCCTCTTTGATGTGGGGCAATGGAGAAGTCTGCGGTGGACAGCTGCAACGCTGCTGCTGATTCTGGCCGGGATTCGGATTTGGATTTGAGTTCTGATTTGAATTTGATGCTGGATTAGGACACGTATTCTGCGGATTCGTAGAGGGATTGCTGCCGCTGTACAGGGTGACCTGGCTAAGGATGTTGCCGCTGCTGGGCACCAAATGTGGCTGTTGTGGCTGTTGCAGCTGCAACTGCAACTGCTGCTGCTGCTGCTGCTGCTGCACCACTGCGGTGGGTGAGACGCTGGCGTCGCTCAGCGTTTCCGGCTCCGCTCGACGGGCAACCAGACCGCTGGCCAAACTGGCCGCTGCTATATCCGCCGCACTGAGCTGCTGGTCCAGCAGCTCCTCGTCCACGTCGTTGATGAGGGTCTTCAGGGAGATGGGCGTGGTCACCGATGTATCGATGGTGTCCGCCAGCGAGTGCTTCTTTGTGCCGCCGTACAGATCCAGCTCAGATCCCGAACCGGTGTTGCGGTTCAGCAGCAAGTCTTCCTTGGCCTTATTGTTGTCCTGATTGTTCCGCTCCTGCTTCTTCTCCAGATTGTCGTCCTCCGGATGTATGACCTTGAGCTCGTCCGGCGACTGGGCTGCGGGTGTTTGGGGCGGACTTGTGGCGGGGGCTGCGGAGCCGCCCCCGCGACAAGGGAGGCAACACCGAAACACTGTGCCACCGAAGCACTTTGTCTTTGTCTTTGATTTTCGCTTGCTACTACAACTCCCGACGCCTCTGGCACAGCCACTCCCACTCCCGCCGCTGCCACTCCCACCGCCCCCTCCAACGCCGCCACTGGCTGCCAGGCCGTTGGCACTGCAGCTGCCACCTAACCCCTGGCCGTTTCCGGTGCCGTTAGCGTTTCCGGTTCCGGTTCCGTTGCTGCTGCCACTGCCGCGATGCTAAAAATCGTACACAAAGAATTATTCAAAATCAATCAGAGTTTCAATCAATTAGTTTCAAGAAATACTATATAGTCTTAAGAAATTCTACATCAACCTGGTACGCCTTTTTGTCTTGGTTATAGAATAAATAGGTTTGCTAGTCTGGCTAGTCTGTGGTCAAATACAAAAAAAAATGTTTAAAATTAAAAACCTTTAATACTGCTTTCGCATTTAAAACCAATAAAATTTGTAATATTCCTATAATTTTTGATCAATATAAGTACACTTATGTAAATATAGGACATTTTTTGTAGCTGATATTTTTGATCAGTCACTCAAACAGTTATTTATTTTATAGCCAAGACAAATAATTGTAAATTTTTAATATTAAAACAAAATTTGCTTGAATTTGAATCCTATTCCCCCTCAACCTTGGCCGCATTTTTGTTAAACGAGAAACCCTGCGTGAATCGCGCCAAACGCATCATCCCCACTTCGATTGGGAGTTATCCCTTGCGCTTAAACATTTTTTGTCTAGCGGAGATCTGCAAAGAAAATAATAGAATAAAAATGGTATTAGCAATTAGCAAATATCTTTTTTTTTTTCAATAATATAATTAAATTAATTCTTATAAAGTAGCTATGTAAAGTCAAAAAAACCATTTCAATTGTACCTTGTTTTGTTTCTTATTCGTAAATAGAATTGGAATAATTAAAAACACCATATATTTTGAGGCCAATGTTTAAACGCAATTAATATAATTGAAATGCTTCCAGTAATTTCGTTTTTAATGCCATTTTTACTCAACATTAGAGGTCGAATTCCCCGCCACACTTCCATGTCAATTAGCGTTTAAATTCGCTTTTCTACTTGGCCAACAGCTTCTGTTCCCCCGAAAAGACCACTTAGTTTCCCCCATTTCGACTTGTTCTTCCACCTGAAAGTATTCCACCTGGTTGCTCGGCTGGGTGGCTGTGCGGCTGAAAGTGGGTTACTCACATATTTGCCCACATTTGCGAGCGACATCCGCTTTTACAGGGACAGACGTCAGCTGCACAAACTGACCCACATCCTGGCTGTATGGCTGTATGGCTGTATGGCTACCAACTTTAGCTCCCCCTAGTTAGTACATCGTCGGAAATCGGAGGAACCGAATCGAATCTTTGCTAAAGCAAAAGACAATGGAGTGGAGACTGCTGCTGATAGTCCTGCCCTGGCTGCTCATCTGCAAGGTGCTCTACAAGGTCGAGGACTTCACGGAACCGGATGTCGTCTACAGAAGTCTGGACTATCATCCCGAGGACTATATCGACTCCTTTACCGACTACCAGAAGCATGACTACTTTCAGTACTAAACTGAGAAAATACTCTCGTGTTTTTATATGTATTTTTATTTTTATTTTGTTTTAGTTTTTTGTTTTTGTTCAAGTGGCTTCAATAAAGCATTGTAAAGTTATTGTGTTTGTTCTGTGCATATTTTATAAATTGTTGTTTTATTTTGAGTCAAAAACTTTTCTGCATTACACTGTGCTACAAAATGTGACCTTTGTTTCTATACATGCACATAATAATAGATTTCTGTTCAGTTTCTAAATCTACACTGGTAAAAAAATACGTAGTAAACCCAAATACTTTGACCGAATTTAAATGTTTTCGATTTGATTTTCATTAATTTCGCTTTTAAGTTATTTTGAAAATGTAATTTAAATTTAAATTAAAAAAAATCATTGAATTTCAGCAAAAGCTACAAGCGTATATAAAGTTCGGCTTGCCGAAGTTTTCTACCTGTGAACAGTAGTTATAAAAGTCTTGTTCATTCATTAAACCTAGTCATAAATCAATGACAAATTGAGAAAATGTTTAAGAAGTAAACATTGATCAATAAAATGTTCAATTAGCCATTATTTTCTGGTAATTTTTATTTATGCAGCCTTCTTAAACGGGCAAAAATAATGTTTGCCTGCAATATTTCCGTAACAAAATTTCGAGGCCAGCTAAATTTATACAAGGCATCTTTGAACATGTGGAAGACACAAATTGCAAATATTTTGCATAAAAATAAAATTTGCAAAAAATAATCTTCAAATATTTAAACAATTTGCATTGTTTGAAATTGAATTCTTATTTGTGAAAGAAGACATGTGACTCAATCTTGAATAAAAGATAACAAAAATTCCGTTTCTATTTATTTAAGCGAATAAAATTAGAATTTGCAATATTGTATTTATAGAAACGGCATATTAAAGTATAACCAATTTCTTTATGTTTAACGTTCATACTTTATATTTGACTTGTTCAAAGTGTTGGTGGGGCTGGAAGACGTGAGGAGTTTGATGGAGCTCTATGCTTTTCGCCTACGTTTGTCCTCATCTGCCAAGCTATGCCAAGCTATGTGACCAGTTTTGGGCCAAAGTAAAGATGACGCTCTCGGCGAAAAAGATACAAAAGCAAATCACATTTGTTCGCCTCGGCGCAATTGTTCAAACAGATTTTGGAGATTTCGGAGTAACTACACAACTGCGAAATTAGGTATAAAAGGCCATGGCCGCCTGCTTGTTGTCACCAGAGTCCCAGTACCATCCACTGGCTGTCCACCATCCACCATGAGGTTCACCTGTGTCCTTCTGCTCCTGACCGTGGTGGTCTGCTCCCTGCTGGTCGGCCCCACCGGAGGAGCCTCCAGTCCCACCGCCACCTCGGCCACGGCCACAACGACTGCGGCGGCCCCCACGACCACGGCGGTCACCACAACCACGGCGGCCACCACAACAACGGCGACCACGAAAGCTTCCGCATCCAAAGTCGCCAAAACGGAGACCGTCACTAAGTGGAAAAGGAGGCGCAAACTGCCACGACTTCGACGCCGTATTCGACGCAGTGGCGGTGGCGAAACTGTCAGCAGCAGCAGCAGCAGCAGTGAGTCCACCAGCTCCAGACGCTCCCGCCGTCGCCGCCGCCGCAGCTACATCGGAAGCGGTAGCGGAAGCGGTAGCCGCAGCAGAATAGCCCGTCGCGTCCGCCGTTTCACCAACTGAAGAACCTTGACAATCACTCTGATCCGATCCCGATGCCAATCCCGACCCCGATCCCTGATTCCCAATCCCGATGACTACAAAACCACATTACTTTATAGTGTCAATAATTTGGACAATCTAACTTGTATTTTTAAGGGGCATATACCTTTAAAAGTTTGCAGTTAACATTTCTATTAATCGACGTTCATTGAAATCTAAGCTTATTTTTCAATATATCTTCTTAAAACAAGAAAGAAAGCAAACTTCGGCAAGCCGAAGTTCATATACCCTTGCAGCTATTGCATGAATTAAATACTTTTGAAAACATTTAAATTATGATTTACTTGAGTATATACTGAAAAACAGTGAAGCTATGATGATTTGCAGCTCAATTATTAGATAGTTATTTTATATATTTTTATTAGTTCTATGGGAGCTATATGATATAGACGTCCGATTTTGATAAAATTTAAACCATAATTCTGAAATAATTAAACATTGCCATATGTCGAAGAACTAAACAAAAAATTAAAAAACAGAAAAGTTATAATTTTTTTCATTTATTTCTCCGATTGTTCCTATGGGACCTATATGATATAGTCGTCCGACTTTGATGAAATTTAAACCGTAAATCGAAAATATTTAACCATTACTAAATGTTGAAGAACTAAACAAAAAATTAAAAAACAGAAAAGTAATAATTTTTTTTCATTTATTTTTCCGATTGTTCCTATGGGAGCTATATGCTATAGTCGTCCGATTTTGATGAAATTTAAAACGTAAATCGGAAATATTTAACCATTACTAAATGTCGAAGAACTAAACGAAAAATTAAAAAACAGCAAAGTTATAATTTTTATACCCTTGCAGAGGGTATTATAATTTCAGTCAGAAGTTTGCAACGCAGTGAAGGAGACGTTTCCGACCCTATAAAGTATATATATTCTTGATCAGCATCACTAGTAGAGTCGATCTAGCCATGTCCGTCTGTCCGTCCGTTTATATGCAAACTAGTCTCTCAGTTTTAAAGCTATCTGCATGAAACTTTCCCAAAAGTTGTCATTTATTTTTCCGATTGTTCCTATGGGAGCTATATGCTATAGTCGTCCGATTTTGATGAAATTTAAACCGTAAATCGGAAATATTTAACCATTACTAAATGTCGAAGAACTAAACAAAAAATTAAAAAACAGCAAAGTTATAATTTTTTTTTTATTTATTTTTCCGAATGTTCCTATGGGAGCTATATGCTATAGTCGTCCGATCTGGCTCGTTCCGACTTATATACTACCTGCAATAGAAAGACAGCTTTTGGGAAAGTTTCATGCAGATAGCTTTAAAACTGAGAGACTAGTTTGCATATAAACGGACGGACAGACGGACATGGCTAGATCGACTCGCCTAGTGATGCTGATCAAGAATATATATACTTTATAGGGTCGGAGATGTCTCCTTCACTGCGTTGCAAACTTCTGACTGAAATTATAATACCCTCTGCAAGGGTATAAAGATTAATACTTAAATGTATACAGAGTGCTTAGTCAAGCTAATAAACTTGATTGTTTGCTAAACTCACACAATTGAGCTTCAAAATAAAGGTTAACAAGTTATGCCAGAAGCCTATAGTTTTGCATTTTATATTTGTATTTATTCAAGAGAGTTTTGTAAGATCTGGTACTTCAGTTAAGCTGCAAGACGTAGCATACTTTAATGAGAAAAAATAATGTCCAGGCAGAAAACTATCAAAACAAATTTTAACTACAATTTCAAACTGAAGACCGGTTCCAAAATTGTTCGGACTATTTCGGATTATTTTTAAATATTAATAGACCATTGGTTTACAAAAATTAAACTGTATTTGTAATTACCTTAATAAACTAGCGGTAACATTATTATTTTAAAACTATAGACAAAATTGGATCTAGGGAGCGTCATGGAGTTAGCATTGGCAGTGGCGTGGGTTCAACATTCAACATTTGGTAAGGTTTTTGCCCAAAACAAAGCAACCGCTTTTGGGCAAGCAAAAATTAGCAAATTTTCGTTTTCGTAAATTTTAGTAAACAGCCAAAATAGTAATTTTCATATTTTCGATATGTGATATGCTTTAATGTTCCCAAATAGTAACATTTATAATTAGGACTCTTTAAATACTATATATATATATCTTAACGACTTAGTATGATATCTCTTGGGCGACAATAAGCATGAGTTTCTATTTATTACGTTCAAGCTCAGCTGATCTTTAGTGGAAATATGTAAACTCATGATCAAAGGGCTCAAATATCAATAAATTTATATCTATCCGAAATCAGACATCCTTATTCATAAACTATTAAAAATCCAGACGAGCATTAAATATTTATTCGTCAACGCTTGGGCCTCCAAAGTTGCGTTTCCATTGAAATCCATTAGCACAAAACCGAACTTGGGGAAACCCTCAAAAGCCCCAAAAGGAAAATTTTGCAAGTTTACCGCCTGATAAATATTCGTAAGCAAAAACTTTTCAACCCCAAAAAGGGAGGCGGGAAGTTCGAAAAGCTGTTGCCATAGATACCGAACACTTACACACATGTGTTATAAAAAATATTAAGAGGAGGAAAAAAACTTCGAAAACAACAACCACGATTTCCATAACAAACGAAGCGTCAGGTGGTGCGGGCCCAGAAAATTTGGTGCACGAAAACCACTGAGCAAACAGGCAGAGACAACTCCACTCGAGTAAAACTGTTGTGTTGCCATTACGCAATTAATTATTGTTTATAAAAGCATAGTTTGCGGGCTGACAGTTAAATAGGAAAGCCGTTAAGTATGCAAGAAAAAGCCGAAAACTTATACTGCCTTCGTAAAAAAGAGAACAAGATGAATGAAAAAGTTTTGAGGCGGTAGAATAAGCTTTAACATTTCAGTAGAATTTTCGGCACAATTCAAGTGGTAAATCAAAAAAAAAGTAATTTAAAACTTGTTCTTCTTCTTGTTTTGAAAAGAATTAATATTTCACTAAAAAAATAATTTCAACCGATAAACGCCATACTTCAATTGAAACAAATCGAAGGCAAATGTCCTCAATAATTTTTGGCTGGCTAACGAGCATTTTTGTTACAAAATCCGCCTGATAGAGCCATAAAGCAGGATGTGCGTATATTTGTTATTGATTTTTATTGAGACATTTGCAAAATTAATGTCTATGATGCGATGCGGAAGAGTATTGCCACCTGGGAAACTCCCTCGACTTGTCGAATGATGAGCGGCATTAATAAATCAATAGCGTTTTGATGGCAAATAATTCGAGATCTGCTCTGGGGATGCAGCCACACGCATTGGGGCATCGATGGCATATATCCACATCCTCCGTATCCTTTTTCCACATCTTCGAACTCGAAATTCCCCACAGACCTTTGCCCTTTGGGGCAAACACAACCCGACCTTCACTTGTGTGTGTTTGGACCTTGATAAGCGACTTCCAATGACCAAGGGCAGTGCACGCGGAGAAGTATTGGGTCTATATGATCTCTGTTTTTTATTTTCGATTACTTTCTGTATTTTTCAAGTTAAAAATATATAAATTCGTATGTTAACATAACAATAACGGAAGAGGAAGACTTAAATTAAACCTTCTCTTATATCCTATTGTTTTTATTCGTAAATAAAATAATTTAAAATATTTATATTTCCCATTCAAATTATATAATCAGTGATAAAACAATGTCAATATTTCCAAACAAGGTCTTTAATAACGTTTCTTTCCGTGTAGCTATGCATCCCAAGTTGAATCCGCAAACTCGTGTCGAGTTATTTTATTGATTGATGCCAGCAAATCCAGTCGATGTTGCTTCGCCCAAAATAATAAAAAGAAAACAAGCAACAACCGAATGCCATTAATTTTGCTGGGAGTCCCTCACAATGGATCAAGTGGAAACACTGACTTGTTGTGGACGCAACTCCGTGACATAAAGGTCGACATGGAGATGACGGAGTGGACAGGGACATCACTGACCTGTTTTCGAATCGCAAACTGTACTGTGCCCACTGAATTAATGCACAGAGATTCGAGCCAAAGTCGGGGACTTAACTCAAATTGAAATGATTGTTTTTTCAATTATAAATTTTCCTACAGTTTGCATGCTTTATTTAAATTGGCATTCAAGAAGCAGTCTGCAGGAAACAAACCGGGTTTTATTAAAGTTGAATATTGGTAAAGCTTGAAGCTCAGAAATGAATTATTTTCTGTCATTACGTAGAAAATTGCAAATACAAAAAGTTGCTAAAAATGATGGTCTAACCCCTTATAAAAATGAAACAATGTCAAAAATCTAATTTTTCGATTTTAATTGCTGTTTTTGTTCAATAATTACTAAGACCCAGTCTCCCATCTTTTCATGTAAACTACCATCTAGCTTGTGCCCGTCGTTTGGTTGGGCCAATTAGATACGCAAATACGAAAATGAAATGAAAATCCCCCTCCCATGTGAAGGAAACTCGACGACACGTGGACCCATATGGTGTGGGCGTGAAAGTGGGCGTTATTTCGATTTATCCATGCGCCGCCGCTTGGCCATTTCACTTGATTTTCCAGCCGTCAGAGGAATCCGAGACCGCCTGTGGATTCCTGCTGTTACTTTGCCCCTAATGAGCAGTTTAATTATGCACGTTGATTGATTGATTCTAATTGATGAAAAGCCAGCAGCCGCAGCAACCACGGCTCATGATTGAGCCGTCCAAAGTTTCGGGCAGTCGTTAAAGTTAAAGTGCATCCTCAGTAAGGACCCAAAAAATAGAGCTACATGTTTTGCACTTCCGTTGCCTCTTCTTTTCGGACAGAACAATTACTAAAAGCGCATAAATTTGCACAAAAAATAACCAGGAGCGAGGATGTAGCTGTTAAGAGCTGCAGCGGAATATTTGAATATTTACTTTAGAGTAATTTATAAGGCTAGGCAAAAAAATGGGGAGTTTACCAGCTGAATTATTCACATAAAGTTGCATGTGCCAGATTATTCAACAACATGATGAAACTTGTATCAAGCCAAAATTCAAAACTAATGCAATGGTTATATTAGAATTAAGCTTTAAAGATTTCATACATATTAAAAGTGTTTCTTCAGATTTCTTTTTGCACTCTCTTTGCATTAAGATTTCCATTTCTATATACTGGTTCTTTTGAAATGAAAGAGATTTCCTTAAGGGGATTTTTACTGTCAGTTTTATATATTTCATTTAACTGGTAGTTTAAACTAGACTTTGTATATTTATAGACAAATATTTAAGAGGTTAACATAATTCAAAAGAATTCTTAAAGAATATTAGACCAAATGAGGCTGCAAAATGTGTTTCTCCCTAAACAAAGTTTACGTTCAATGCCGTTAAATTTGTTCTTCATTGTTAAGCAGGGCTTTCAATAAAAATCAGACTAAATATTTGCTGATTCTCCCCTGAGAACGACTAAAATTGATCAATGAATACAGACGATTAAGCTGCCGAAAAAATCGATGAATGAAGATTCCCCTGCGAAATGAGAAGAATAGTAAATAAATAGATCGTGCAAAACGAAATTCGTTGGCGGGTTTGTTTTACTAGCAAAATTGGGGAGTTTTGACTGGGTAAATACTAGGCATTTGTGCAAATAAATTTTTGGAGTGTGGATATCAGCGTATGAATTTGTTCTAGCGTATGTTGTTTTGTGGCCATTGTTGAGGCCTCAATGACGCAGAGCCGACCCCAGGTATAAATAGGGTAAGCGGAGGCCGGAAAACATCATCCAGTCCCACGCAGAACTTTCAGTCAAGATGAAGCTCCACTGGCTGCTTTTGGCAGTTGTCCTGATCTGTGCCCTCAACTACACGCATTGCGAAGACGACTCAACCACCACTTCCACCGAGGTCACCACGGTCGCCTCTTCGACCACCGTCTCGACCACCTCCTCGGACACCACTGCGGCCAGTAGCAGCAGCAGCGACTCGGCCACCACCGCCTCCTCCAGCTCGAGCAGCTCCTCCTCGTCCTCTAAGAAGTCGGCCGCCGCCAAGAAGCGGGCCAGAAGGAGGCGTGCCGCCGCCCGCAGAAGGCGTGCTGCCAGAAGGCGTGCCGCCCGCAGGCGCAACAGGGGTTAAACTGGACGCACGGGGTCAAGGTCAAGGTCATCCCATCCAGCCGAAACAACGCACTCCTACAATCTTTTTTTTTCCACTCCCTCTTCTGATCTTCTGATCGGAAAATTAAATTTAACCCGGCTATGGCATTAAATTGCAACAAAATATTTATCAAAGTGTTTTAACAGATTTTGGGGGAGGTGTATAATATTTATACATGTACTAGCAAAGTTTCACCAATATTTAACGTTAATTTCCTTTAGTTTTCTAAATCATTCAAATGAGCAGCAGTTAGACTGTTTTTTTGCAATTCGGTTTTGGGGGATATGTGGGAAGTGGTGTAAATTTAGAATATTTATAAAATAGAGCAAAAATGTTAAATTTTAAAATTTTAAGAACATTCTAATTCGGTGGACATATTAGATTTAATTCCGGCTGTTATTAAAATAACATTACCAGTACTTTTTATAAAGGAGTTTTATGCAATTTTAATCGCAAGAAAATACTTATTTTGCAAGTATTTCAGATGTCCTTTAGGCCAAGTTTTTTTTAAACCATTTAATCCCAGCTTTGGCAAATTTACTTCAATTAATTCAATCAATTACTTAGGCTGTGGGTCGAGCCTTTATTTTTAGTTACATATGTACATTCAGTCGCAGAAAATCTTCAACATCTTAAACTTATTATTCCCGAATTAAGACTTTTCCTTTAAACAATGCCAAGCAATGGGGAAATAAAACGAAGACAGCAGAACAGCTGGACTTTAACGGCGCATTTGGAGTGCATTGAATCGGTTAGCTTGATTACTTTTGTTTTTGCGCCAAGGGTGAAAGGTTAAAGTTAAGCCCAGAAATGTACTCATACTCATACGGCAATGTACTCATACTCACATGGGCTGCAATAAAAAGCAACAAGTTGAAAGACCACGCAAGCAAAAAGCAAAAGCCATCAAGGTCCCCATTCCAAGCCCATTCCCATTCCCAATCCCAATCAGGATCGGAGACCTCGGCCACCGAAACCCATCAGCAATTCGAGCGCATAAAAATGGTTATAACCCAAGAATGGTACCCTGCTTCTTCCTTCACAACGAAGTCGAGTATACTCTAAAGCGAGTAAATTAATGAAACTCCGTTTCTATAATAGTCTATATATATATATATATATATATATATATATATATATATATATATTTTTTTCGCGCGGTTTTTTCCTTGGTCATGTCAAACAAATGTGAAATTCTTGTTTGTGTCCCCTGCTTTATTTATTAATATCATTATTTGTTAAAGAGGAACTCTTCAACTAATATTTGTTTTAAAATGTATTTGTTTTAAAATATATATATATAAATATAATAAATTTATTGCATCTTTGCATTGCGTAAAAAAAAAAAAAAAAAAAAAAAAACATTTTGTTTGCTAATATATTTGTATTGAACATTATTTGATTTCATATTTTGTATATGCAAATATTTAAAAAATTCAATGATTTAACTTAATTGAAACTTGTTGCTAATAGTTTGTAAAAATAATAATAATTAATTAATTAATTAATTAATAGTTTGTAAAAATAAAATAAAAAATATATAAAAGATTTTATAAATTCGCACAAGTCCTTGGGAAAGTGAGTGAATGGAAAAAACAATAACAACCAGCAAAGCACATTGCAAACGCATTACAATGGGCACAACTGTTGCTGTTCTTGTTCTTTACTCTCCTCTTCTTCATCCCTTTCTTCACTTTCTCCTTCCTCTTCTTGTTCCTTGTTTCCCCGCTTCTACACTGAAAACAAATACAATTCGCAATTGAGAAATGAAAGCAACACCATCAAGAGAACGAGATAGCTGGAGTGAGAAACGGGAAAGAGGGAAAAAAGCGTGCAAGTAACATTCGTCTGAAGACAAAGAAAGCAGCATTAGAACGAGACGGCAACGGAGCGGAAAAGGAAGACTCGGCACAACAAAGGACATGGTCTTCCATGTATGTGCAAGTGAGAGGTGACGAGAGACCGTGAAAGGAAGCGAAAAATACAGGGTGAATTTCTTTTTGTTTTTAAATAATTGTGCAAAACATGTTGATACTAATTTTAAGTGTGTTGTTTTTTTACACATGAAAGAATAAATCAAATACATTTTTAAAATACCTCTTTTTTTTCCCCCCAAAGTATTTTGACTAATGCTGTAACCTCAATTAAAGCTTTAGAACCCCAGGGCTTCAATTTGTTCTTTCATTTCATTAACATCCTTGCCATTTCCCCAAGGACACCCTGTACTTATGTATATTGATATGCTGCGCTTTGTGGCCATTGATGTTGATATGCTCGACGTGACTTATATTATATGTACGCACATGTATGCGAATAATACGAATACATTTTTTTTCCCATAAACCACCCACCGGAAAGAGAGGGCTTTATGAGTGGGTGAAAGAGAGCAACATACAATTACACCTTGTTTGTTCATGTCGGTGTTGCTGTTATTTTATTTTTTGTTTTTCCCGTGGTTTTCTGCGCTCTTATTATTATTATTGAAACGTCGCCCGATTCTTTGCAAATTTTAGCTTACTGCTTATTAATTTGCAAATACTTGAGGCCATCAGTGCGACCACGAACAAATTTTAAAACACCATAAGCTTTTAGATGTGTTCCCCAGCTCTGTGTTATTGTTAAAGTTTTTTTCTTTCTTGTTTGTTGCCACACAATGACTGCCAACTGTGAGGCTTAAATTTGAGAGTTGACGAGTGACAAGTGTCTCAGTGGAAAAAAAAGTGAAAAAGAGGTGGAGCGAGGCTTAAATCAACAAGTGTGTGGATAGGGCTGATAATTCCAAAGCTAACTGAATATTTAACCAGTTCTTTTTATTTATCAAAATTCCTGGAATGTAGGTTGATCATACAATTTGTTTTTAATATATTTTCACATAGAAATACCTTATTCAGAATAATTTAACGGTGTTTCCAGAATTCATCAGAGATTGTATTTAACGAAAAAAGTACGCTTTGAAATATTTAGAACGAACTGTAGTAAACTTTCTCCATTTTTTTTTGAATGCCTGGTAAATGTATAACGAATCATGGTCCAACAAAATAATTTTATTCTAGTCATAGTAACACACTCTTTACATATTTCTTATATATTGAACACATCTCTATATTTATTTAAAATTGGCAACTGGTACTGTTTTTTTTTTTTTTAGCTTCCTTCCATAACAAAGTAAAATTGGTTAATTTGGAGAACATTTTCATTGGCAAACCAAGTTAAGTCCAGTTATGTGAAGTTTAGTTACACTTGAGGCTGGCTGAAGTCGCCTAAAGGTCCTGCGAGAAACTATTAGTTTAGCTTGGGCCACTTCCCTCGTCCTCTGGTTAAATTGCTTTGCCTAATTTGTTTTTTTTTTCGGCTCGCCTTACGAATTCGTATGCAAAGGGCGCATAAATTTAATCAGTTAGTGGGATGTTGTTTTTCTTTCGTTTCGTTTCAGTTTGTTTCGTCCTTCTGCTGTTTGCCAACTTAAAGGGCGGCGTATTGTGGTGGGTGTGGCCAGGTCGTAGGTGTGGTCAAAACCCTGCCTGTTGGTCAAGACAGAAAACAGACACACGGACACGACATTGGCATCCGTGCACTGACAGAATATTGGGTAAAACTCAAGTATATCAGTGGGACGAAATGTGTGTATTTTTTTTTTTTTGTTTTTGTTTAATGGATAATGCTTCTAAAATTAATTTTATGCGACCTTTGGGGTAGCTTAATCTGATTATATATTGGAGGGAGGCAAAAACAAAACAAAAAAAAGAGCATTTTAAAATAAAACATTTTTTTTCTTTTTTGCACTTTTGGAGATGAGAGCATCTGCGTGATTGAAGCGATATTTTTTTCAGTGCAGGCTCGGAGTCCGCATGTTGTGTACATGCCAACGCAGACAGGCAAAAGGACACGCAGACAGACAGATAGACAGACAGGCGGATATAGAGGGGAAAAATGAGAGAAAGCAATTGGAGGTTAGAGAACAGTCGCAATTTCTTCTGGGCTCTATTGATTTTCGAGAATTTTTCATACTCTTTAGAAGTTGATAAATTTAATTTTTAGTAATCTCGAAATTTTATTAAAGATTTTTCGTAATTTTTCAATAATTGTTTATTTACTTTTTGTTAAACAAATTAATTTTGATACCCAATTTCTCGAAAATCTAAATTTATGGATTGCGAATTTTTCCAGGACACCCAAAGTTTCGTTCAATGTTAGTTTCTTTTTTGTCAGGATTTCTTTCGATTTTTTTCTACTCGTCCTGTTTTGTTGTGTTGTTTTGCTGTCATTGCCTATGCCATTTCCTGAATGTGCTAAACCAATAAAGTAACTTTTGACATGTCTGCCGGCTGTTTGAATTGCGTCCTAATTGTGCCACTCAGTGTGTGTGTCTTTATAACCTTTATTTTGGCTTAGAGACACCCACTGAGATTTTCATTTTGCCAAGAAAAATGTCGCCAAATTTGGAATTTCTGGTGAAGGTGACTCCAATTATCCTGGTATTTCAATCGATGTCAATCAATCAATTAGCCGCACGCCTCTATGTCTATGCATCAACCCGAATTGCCGGCTCCAATTCAATAAGGATCATTTTCCTGGCCATCCACACTGACTTGGCTCTCATTTAATGTGGCCCGTCCTAAATTACTGAACGAAAAAGAGGTTGGATAACTTTCATTTCAACTGGGCTAATTATTTCCGAATTCCCCTTTTATCCTCAGTCAACATCATCAATCTTTCGGGCTCCCCAGCAATTTGACAGCGATTGCGACATTTACAACTGTTCATCATCAGTGGATTTAGCCCCGGATAATCTCCGCCAGCAGTACAGGAGAATACGGGGCAGAAAATTAAGGGGAATTAAGGAGAATCAAGTAAAATAAATCAGGTGTTTTTTTTTGTTTTATGAGCCGAAGGATAATTGCCCAATCCCATTGAGAAAGGACTTCTTGATATTTAAAACATCTCATAATTTACAACCATATTTTGAAGCTTAAAATAATGTGTAAGTTTAATTTGTTAAAATCAGTTAGCACAGCTTAAACAAAATTGAAAAATTATAAATAAGAAAATCAAAACATATTTAAGTTCTTTAAATATCAAGAGCCTGTTTAAAGTGTTTTTGTGGCATTTTTCCAGC